TTTATTTATTTATTTATTTATTTATTCATTTGCTTATTTCAATTTGACCGGAGAGGGACAGAGTGAGAGAGAAGAGAGAAAGTGTGAAAGCAAGCCGCCAGGTCCGGGACTCGAACCATAGTCGGCCATGTGGGAGTCCAGGGCCTTTAACCACCATGTCACTTGCCAGCCCCAAGTCACATTTCTTGAAGCAGTTTTGTTTGCATCTTTTGTCATTTTCTTCTCGTGTGAAACCATGAAATACCACCACAGATAATCATAAAGACAGGTTGTGGTTCCAGTGCTCCTACCTGAACACACTCTCTCAGGTTAGCTGTGTGCTGGACTCGGGGTCAGGGCTTTCGGAGCCAGCACGGTTTTCAGTTTCTGACTTGGGAGACGAGCCAGCTGCGGGTTCGTCCTCAGTGCAGTCTCCCACAGTGCTGCCATTCCAGTGTGGACGCTCCATGCAGGGCCTGCTGGGTCTCGGTTGACCCTGGTTTTTAGGAGAACATGAGAGAAGACGTGGCCACAGGCCCTGGGATGGACACAGAACCTCCGTGGCTACTGAAGCGTTTGTAAAAGCAGCGTGGCGTGGTTCCGTGTCCTCTGTAGTAGTGCCCTTCGTAGTCCTGTCAAGCTCTGATGAGGCAGAGCCAGCAGGCCCCCAGGTGTACACGCTTGTCTCAGGGGCACCCTCAGACCCCCTGTCTCCCTCGGGCAGCCGTGGGTAGCTGCAATGGTGGAGGTGGGCATCCTTGTTCCCCCTCCCCTGCATGGGGAAGGCAGTGCTGTCAGAGCTGTCCAGAACCTTGGGTGTGGCCTGTCCACTCCCTGTGCCCTCAGGCCGCCACCGGAAGTGAAGCCTGGGCAGGATGGCTTAGTGGGAGGGAGTTGGGGGCTGGTGCCTGGGCATAGGGCCAGTGTCCAGCCGCCCCTCCACTCTGGGGGCGGGAGAGGAGGGGCAGGATGGTGAGGTTTCTCTTGGCTGTCAGAGCAGGGCTGGTAATCGCCTCATAGTCATGTTGTCGACCACTCACAGTGCAGTCTGACTCTCACGGGCCCCGAAACTACACCCTCCCCACATGCGTGTCAGTTGGCGAGCATGTCTGTGCCCTGTGCAGCCCTGCCTGCAGCCGCTGGCCGCCC